AGTTATGCTTTGGTACGGTTTGCAAGAGGTATTGGCCATTGGAAAACGCATAAAAACCTGAAGTGTGAGGCATTACGAAAGTTCGTTCCAGCGTTTATTTGTTAAAACCTCTTGTCTTTGGTTAGTTTACTCCTTTAGTATGTGCTCAGCATTCTTCAATTTTTTTTTCATATTTCTGCCGTCGCTTTCGTAAGCATATACATTTCATTACCGTTTGTTCATCAAACTTTTTAGTCAGCAATTACCTACATAACATGTTCATTCCCTCAGCAATCTTGAATGTCATTTTCTATTTAGTAAAAAATCTCATGGAAATCATTAGTGACATGCAGGTTGCTGATAATTTGTTTGCTGTATTTCTGGTGATCATCTTTTTGACAGAAGTGTTGCTCAGATTAGCTGCTGCTTTTTTTCGGTTTTAAACGCTAGTTGATATTCGTTGATCAGAGCAAAAAGGAAGTCAATCTCAGATGACCGTCTGCTTCTCGCTATTGCATTCACCTTCATTTCTATTTTTGTTTCTGTTTACTTAGTTTTTTCTTTGCTCATGTTGGATGATAGTGATCTGGTGATGAAGGCCAATGTTTCGGTTTTTCTCAGTGTCCTAATGATCCGTACTTTTTTTCTGTAGGCTTTTGGAAACTGCAAAAAAAAAAACAAAAAAACGTTTTTTGTTTGTAGGTTTTGCAACGGCTGTATGACAAATCTAAAATGTTTCGGCCTATCGTTTAGATATTTTGGTTTTTAGCTATGCAATTTTTATAATTGTTTTTTTTTTTTTTTTCTGCCCGTTCTTTGTCTAGCAGCCAAACAAATTCATAAAGGATTACAGCAGAATCAAACATGGTTAGTGCAGTCATGCGTTGGTATCTATACAGAATAGTTCTTTTAGCCTGCATATGGGTTCTTCTTGACGTTTTTTGTTTTTGGTAGTGTTGGTAGTATTGCTGCCTTTTTATCTCTGTTCCTAAACTTCAAAAAAAAAAAAAAAAAACTCCACATGTCTTCTGACATCTTGTGCCCTTTACAGTTCTTGCAGAAACATTTTGTTTCTTTTTTTTCCTTCTCATCAGCAACAGTTTGGCAGCATATTTTGTGTAAAGAAAACGAAGAAGGAATAGTGGGGAACTTCGATTGCTGTTGGTCATTTCAGTTCTGTGATTAAAATTTTTCGAATTGAAATTGTTTGAACGTCCTTGAAATATTGTCAGTTAGAAATGAGCGGTCAACGCGCAACGCGATACGTCTGTTATTTCACCCTTCGTTTGATTGCTGAAGCGCTAAGGAAATCCTGGCCTGTGGGGGTGGTTTGCGTGTCTATCGATGGCGGTGCTTGCTTGTTCGATTTAGGAAGATTACTCTTTCCAAGATGACCAATCTGAAGGGCTTCAGTTTTGTTTAGACACAACGTACAGTTACTCTGGGTTTGTGAGTCATAGGCTACAAACTAGTTGCTTTGGCTGATTAGGATAGCAGAAGTTCTCGGCGTTATTTGGTCACTGTGCTTAGAAACGGAAATTTCAGCTAAAATGAAACAGTTTCGGTTCTGTAAGGTCGTAGTTCACGTTACTGGGTGGGACGAATTTGACACTAATCTGTTAAAGCAATGCAGAGTCATCCACCCTTGCCAGTCAGTCGATGGTTGCGTATCTTTTTTATTCATTTTGTTCAAGAATCGTTCATATCTCTTTTGCAGGGAGGAAGGCATTTATGGAATAATATGAAAGTAAATATATGGAATTAAATTGAAAGTGATTAATAGGTAGTGCAAGGAAAGCTATCAAAAAAATTTCTCTTGAACACTTTTGTAGCGATTTTTTTTATCTGATGAAAATATATTTTAAGAGATATTGGTTGATTGGTATAGGGCTGATGATTTGCTTCCGTGTTTTCTTCCATCTTTTTTTAAGCTTTCTTGGCTTATAAATTTAGGTAGATAGATAGGTTTATACTGGCAAGTGGATGTAATGACTGACTAATTGCTCTGGCAGAAGCGACTGCTGTGGCTCGTGTTGGCTTTCACTTAATCTTTAATTTTATGTTTATTTCAATTTTTTCAGTTTACATTTGCAGTTGTTTGTGTTTTACGTGTTTTTATGCTTGCAAATACCCTTTGCTTCGGTTTTGCAAAGTGCTCCTGCTGATAAGGTGTTGTTAAAGCTAAAAAAAGCTAGTGTTTTTTCTTGTTTAATGTTTTGTTCCTGGAGGGATAACATCCTTAAACAGTAAAAAAAAGTGTAGTTATTTTGAAAAATTTTTTCACTTCTTGGTTTTTTTTTTTTTTTTGAAAACGGTCAAGAAAGAGTCGAAGATATTATTTGGTTCCAGTCTTTTCGTTTTTAAAGTGTTTAAAGCAATTTTTGCAGACCCGATTTTTGACTTTTTGGCAGTACAGATGTCAGGTCTATAAATTCAGTGGAAACGAAAAAACTTTTGATTTATCTGGAAATTACTGTTCTATTTGTATGTAAAACTTTACATTTTATTCTTTCTGTGCATTTTTTTTCACTGTTTGGAACATTATAATAGGATATAGTCATAGTTGCTGAGAGCGCATTATATTTCAATACATACACAAACACACTAACATTAGTATGCTCATATGAGCTTATTTGAAGATTGACCTTTCCTTATAATTTGAAAATGGTTTTTGTTCCTTTGTTGTGTTGCTTTTCCGTAAAAAATCCAAAAAATAGGGACGGAATAACCTACTGCTGCATAGTTTTTGACCATCATATCAGTTATTTGTAGAATAAAAAAGAAAGAAAAGCAAAATTTTTTTGACTAGCAACTGAATACCGAAGACCACATGCTGTTTTAGACGACTTTAAAGGAAGGAAGAAGAAGAGGAAAATTCATAAAATATATTGGGGATGAAAAATAATGGAAGAATTTTTGAAGGCTGGAAAAGTTCAGGAACATTATACTTGTTAATGAGCGACATATATATTTGTCTCTATGTTCGTTGTGCTATATCTCTTTAAGAGAGAAAGGCAAAAGTTCCGCTTAATGAGTGTCCAGAATACTGGCATGGTCTTCTGGGTGTATATGTTTGCTCGTTGGATGCTGCTCCTGCTGAATATGATTTTAGTCTAGCCAGTAGCATTGCCGGTAGTAACAACATCATCATCATCATCAGCACCAGTAACAGCAGCATAAAACAACAAATAATAACACCATTACAGCAGTAACAACAACAGCAGTAGCAGCCACAGCAACAGCAGTATCAATTATAGCGTCATCATCGTTTTCTTCAATGGGCGGCGGCGTTATATAGGCAGCTACCAGCCAGTAGACAGCTTCAGCGGCCTTCTGCAGACCATAATTGCATGTGGTCTTCTACTGGTTGGCTGTTCCTAACGGCGAACTATTCTTTGCCTCTGCTTGTTTGTTTTTCTATGCCTATTTGCCTCCCTATCTGTCTCTTCGCCTCCCTAATCTATTTTTCCTCCATTTCTTTGCCTCCTTTTGTCCTCCGTTCTTTTTTTTTTCGTCTGATTTTTCCCTTTCTGTTACGCAATCCTTATTGAACAAACGTTGTTTTTTTTTTTCTTCAATCATTGGTCGTTTCTTCGAATGTGCAGGTTCCGACCAATGTCTAAAATGCTGTGTTGCATTCGTTTACAAGAAAAGTTTTTAGGGCATAGTTATATAAAAATTTATATCGAAGGAAGTTTCTTTTGGAAGTTAAAAAACAACATGTATATGCTAATGGTGGTGTTCCCTCATACAATGGACATTAGTTCTGAAAATGTTTAAGTTGCTGCGTTGCAAAAATATATTCAGTCATGTACTTTTCCCATCTGTATAGCTTTGCATTAAGTGGAGTAAGAGATCCTTTTTTTTTCATTTTTTTGCTGGACAAATGAGTATAAGTAAATGCTTAAAATTAAAAGGGCGACGGCTTAGAAGGCAGTTGACGTAACAGAGAATACCTCAACTGGTGTACTCTTTTATTAATTTCTTCTGGGGGGGGGG